CTTCTCGGTTTGCTACTCGATCTGCTGCTGCTGCTACTGCTGCTGCTGCTCGTGATTAGCTGTGCAAAACCCCCGAATACCCCTCTTGAATTACTGCTACAACAACCCCTCGCCGTCGTCTCTTGTGCATCCGTTACTCTCTTTGGTGCAGGTTGCACGTGCCATCGATTGTTTTTATAAACTTTCGCAGCTGCGTATATTAGTTACGAAGAAAATGAAACACCGAATGTGACAGAACGAATAAGAATTCTCCGTAATGATTATTATTATTATTAATAATAATCAAGTATTTTTTATCAGAACAAAACGAAACTAAAAAGAACAAACTTACGGATTTTAATTCCTTCCGTAATTTGTCAAATTTTTGCATTTAAAAATCCATTATTGTTCATACACTTTTCTCAATATCAACGAGTAGTCAAGAAATTTTCTGTAAGATTTGCAATTTCGTAATCGTTATTGCAACGACGTTTCGTGAGAATTGTCCTTGTACGAAAAAAAAAAAAATATATATATATATATATATATATATATATATATATGTATACATAAATCCCGCGTCAGCTGATATTGCGTTATTAAGCTTGTTGAAATATTTTTGTGGAACGCGAAATGAGTTCACGGTTTGTGGCACGAGGTGTTTTTTAAATACGAACGATATTTAAAAAGAAAAGGATAAAAAAGAAAAGCGAAGTTATCCTCGTTCGAAGAATAAGAGAGATGTGTAACACCAGCACCGATCGTTTTGGTAGTTAGCTCCTGTCAGATTGAGGTCTCTGCCATTTCACAGCGTGATGTCATTAAAGTATTGTATTTCGCTTATCGGCACCGGATGCCGATTCCTCGTGGAACTCGCAGCATTTCAGGAATGCGAATGTCGTCGTTTTCTGCAACCAAGATGACTGACCACCCACCTTTCCTTTTCCCCAGCTTCACCATCGTCATATTTATCTATAATACTTAATTGATCGATCAATCGGTTCATTCTAATAAGTAAACTGATTGATATACAATTGGGAAACATTTTTGTTTCGAAACTTATCTAATAAGTCCATTTAAATATTTTCTTTTTCTTCTTGTTGACTCTAATTACGTGTACTATTGGACTATTATTATTAAATTAGTTGTTTTTCTCGTCCAAAAATAAAATTCTTAATAAGAAGGTATCATAGGGAATTTGGACATCAAAAAAAGAAATAGAACTTAATTTTGATAAGTTAGACGTTTCGTCCTTTTATTGGGACTTCTTCAACAAGTGGAAATTTTATTTTATTGTTATTTTTATATTACGAAATACATCGGACCCATACATTATAAAATATTACATGTTACCTTAATCTCTAAAGTTCAGCGTCTTTTTTCTTTAAGCAGATATACATTCTTCTTTTTATTTATAATATTCAAAACACAAAACATCTACACTTCGTTAAGTCTTAATCCGTTATATATAATTTGTTTTATTTTGTTATTGAATAAATTTGTTATAATCACATTTCTAAGTAGAATAAATTACAATCGTTATTATCCAATTAGAACACGTCAATAGTAACATCATATATCTAGATATTATTGTATCTTTTAGAATAGTACACCGAATCCTATTCATTGTCAAGCTAATATCCTATACCGGAACAAACAGCATCGTATGCTACTCCTATTTCCGTTATTACTACTAATTACTAGAAATCTCATAATTACATATGAATCATGTAATATAAACATGAGATGGTACGTATTATACATAGTATTTCGAATTAAAATATATAACTCGTGTAACACTTACGTGTTATAAGTTAAGAAAAAAAAAAAGAAAAGGAAAAAAGAATTGGATAAGAAAAATGTCTGATTACAATTTCCTTTATAATTCACATAGTTGCTTAACTTTTTGAGTCACGTTGGAATTAAAAGTCTCCCACCTTTTCGATGCACCGTAATGCATGTTAGGACATTTTTAGTCCCACCTTGAAATATTGCAATAACTGCATGCGCATAAGCATGGTGAAACTATTTGAATCCCACCCCATATAACAATAAATTTAATTAAATTATTACTATTTTTTTTATGTTTTTACATTATGTAAGAGATACCTTTACTAATAAAAATATAACAATTTTGTTTCATTTAAAACACAATATAAAATATCCATGCAACATAGGATTATTATCTGAAATCCTATGCCACAAAGAATTAGTGCACATCCAAAAAATATTAACATAAGAATAAACCTAAATATTGTAATATTGGATCTATCACCGACAACATTTGGCACGCATTGACATTTCATCATACAAATCTTGACATTAATCAATTACGATCTTTAACGAAAGAGATAACATATTATATTATAATATATTAATTGTAATAATTCGTTCTTATGTTATAAAATAACTATATGATCTTCGTTAAAGGATTTGGATGAATCGTCTGAAGGGATATTAATTACGCGAATGTTTCGAATTCGAAAGATATCGGATCACCTTCGACGTTGTCCGATGGTTCGATGTCTATGGTTGTGATGATGGCCTCTGGAAATGGGTTACGAACACGTGTCCCCCCCTCCCCCACCCCAACAGTATTACTCTGTGATAGGATGAAAACAAGATCTCTCCCTAACGCGATCCTATCGAAATGGTATTCCATTTCTCCCGTGTACGGGAACGACTGGTATCGTTCTAACGATAGGACCGAGGAGAACAATGTTTTCTAAACTTGGATAAAGTGACCGTTCGTTGTCATAACACCGATCGTTTCCTATACTTCTTTGTTATTTCTTTTTTTTTTTTTCTTTTTCATTCGTGATGCGATCGATGAACGGATGATGAGTCTCCCTCGAGATCGATAATTGCAAAAATTATTCTGAAGAAAGAAATAGAAATAATATATAAATAAATAAAATATCATCCTTCTTTTTCCCCCTTCTTGCATTTTCATTCGTACGATTTTAATCGAGGAGAATGTTTTATCGGGTCCTTAAGCGTAGATAAAATTATCGCATATTTCTCCCTTTGACCTAACCGATTAGCCCGCATATTCTCGAGTTTCATATCCTTTCGTTCTTATCCTTACGCATAATTTAACTTGTAAACTTTTTCCTCGATATATTGATAGTCATTTGACAAAATAATAAATTAATAAGAATAATACAAAATATATTGAAATATTAAGATCGATAACAATTGTCATCTTATGATTAGTTTTATACAGGATGAGTTAATTATTTAATATTAAATATAAAAAACTATATATTCTAATATAGAATAAGATTTTAATTCACGATAACAACATATATATATATATATATATTTATTTTGAAAGTGGCATAAGTCACTTTTTTTTTTTTTATTGAAAATGAAAAGATAC